ACAGCTAATTAAATTTCTAGTAAAGAAACTAATAAAGTTTCAAATCACAAGTAATTCATAATTGTTTTCCTTAGATGAGATGGACAGCTAATTAAATTTCTAGTAAAGAAACTAATAAAGTTTCAAATCACAAGTAATACTTAATTGTTTTCCTTAGATGAGATGGACAGCTACATGTATCAAAGTGTTGGCCATGAGGCATTGAATTTGTATGCTGAAGCTATGGGCCTACCTTTGTACCAACAAGAAATTGAAGGAGCCCCTTTAAAACAAACGCTTGACTACCAACAAACTTCTGGAGATGAAGTTGAAGATCTCTTTAATTTGCTATCTAAAGTAAAAGTAAGTTTATTTCGAAATATTTACTTCTGTATTGAGTATCATATTTCATGTAATCCAGTGTTTCCCAAACTTATGACTTTTGTGTACCCTTTCTAAATTTTTCATTATGCTGTGTACCACTAATAAAAAAATGAATGCATTTTTTACTATAAAAAAATTGCACAAAAGTTAAAAATCATAACTGGGTGCTGATACCACTAACTATTAACTGTTATCTCTTCAAAAAATAGCCAATAGAAAAATACGTAATGGTAAATTTTCATAATTTAGCTAAATTTTCGCAATGACGATGATATGCCAATTAGAAGCCTGAATTTTTGTAAAATATCGCATTTTGCGATGTGTAAAAGTACAGGCTTTTGTTTGACTGAATTTGTCCATCGTAATTGCAAAAATTCAGCTGAATTCCAGACTAGAAAGCTATGGCTTTTGAAATACAGATTTATTGTATTCATACCATAGATTAATGAAGAAGCTGCCATAAAACAGACCGATTTTATACTGTACTGAAATTTTGTTTAAGAAAGTTCATCAACGAAGGAGACCTAAAATAAATTTTTAGTTCGATTTGGGGCCCCTTTTGATGGGGGCCCCTGGGGCGTGTGCCCTGTATGCAGGGTTTGAAAAACCCTGGGTATTTTAGAAAAAACCCAACCCGCCTGGGTTTTATTGAAAAAACCTGGGCAAAATTGGGTTTTATTTTAAAAAAACCCAGGGGAAATTGGATTTTATTTGAAAACCCTCCGGGGGAAATTGGATTTTATTTGAAAAAACCCGGGGGAAATTGGGTTTAATTTGAAAAACCCCGGAGTAAATTGTTTTTTTTCCTTAAGTGCTCATTAACTTTAAGTTTTGCAGTGTAAATATATTTATTTATTAAAAAATGTTGTGTAAGCTTAAAAATAGAAATAAATTCAAAAAGTTATTTACATTTTGTTATATGTATTTTATATTAAGTTTAAATAACACATTATCACTAATACATATTTGAATCTTCTTTATTGTTAAGTACATAACGTTTCAAAATTTTTAACTCAAGCATTATAAAATATACATGCCATAATATAAAAGGAACAAGTTAATTAATCTTTTTGCTTTCACACACATTTATTTACTATATTTATTAAATATATATATATATATTACCTATTATAAAATTATAATCTGTAAATATTTATAATCAATAAAAACTAAAATTTCATCTGACTTTTGACTTTAATAAAAAACTAAAATAAATATTTAATGGTCTTCCATAATTTTATAGTAAGATTAATAGAAAGCGAAAATAAAATTACGTATAATTATGAAGAGTATCAGTTACTTTTCTTTTTTTTTCTTCAAATAATTAACCCTAGGAAAATGATTTTAAAAAAATTTCGTATAAAAAGTTTTAGCTTATTTTTTTTAAAGCCAGAAAATAAAATTGTTTAAATTTAACGTATCACTTAGTAAGAAAAAATTTTTCTTTTAAATTTTTTTAAACATATTAATTAATAATAATAACCTGTTTATTAATATATAAAGCATGGAACTATATTTGAAAAATTGATCTTTTCGAATTATATTATTTAAATTTCTATTTGATTTAATAACATTAAAATACCTATTATTTTTTGAAAAAACCCACTTAGATTTTTCAATAGTACTATAAAATTATAAGATTCGAATTTCTTTTACTTTACATATACTAAAAACTTAATCATAAAAATCATGCAACTCTATTTGAAAAATTTATGCTGCACAATAAATATATAAAAGTAAATGAGCAACACTAAGTTTTAATAAAAATAATTTTTTCTGAAAAAAACCCACTTATGGTTTCAAGTGGGTTTTTTCAAGGTGGGCCCACCCAATAAAACCTGGGCGGCTTTTTTACAAGTGGGCCTACTTGGCTAACCATACCCGTATGCCCTTGCCTTTGTCAGGCTCTGGATACACTACACTGATTTATGCTTTGGAACTTATTATCTGATTGTAAGTTTCAAAACTATGATTTCCAATGACAAAAGTTTAAATTTGTAATAATTTTGTAGTAAAAGCATTAAAAAATATGGCACAAATCTCTTTAAGCTTAGTTTAAATTTGTGTTGTTCCTGGAATGCCAACTGTTCCTCTTTCTTTTTTAAAAAAAACTTTATGTCAAGACTTAACTACTTCTTATAAATTTTTAATGAATTCAATTAATACCTTAAAACATTGAACTAGTTGATAAAAATCAGCATTTTCTATAAACTTTTGAGTTATTTATATGTTGTAGTAGAGAACCGATTATCAGGAACGATCTGGACCATCGCTATTCCGGATAACTGATTTTTTTCGGTTTTCTGAATAGCTACAAAAAGCCGTTTTTTCTATTGTCAAACTCAACTAAAAAATATGTATATATAATTAGAATAATTTAAAAAAACTTACTTCTTTTGACAAAGTAGGGAACTAATGATTATTTCTAAAATGATGGTAAACATCTTTTTAAAAGGAAGGAAGAATTCTGAAATCTTTTTAGAAATACTTTTTTTTTTAAAATGGCGGGAAAGTGTATAGAATTTCGTTCTGGTTTTCCGGTATTCTGATTTCCGGATAAGAGGTTCTGTACTGTAATAGGTTAAAAAAATTTAATTGAATTTACTGAACAACAATTAGAATATAAATTTTGCTACCTCTTGAAAAATTTTGCCCATAAAGTGGGGCAAGTTGGCATCTCTGCAGTAGCACATTGGATATTTTATTAATTTAAATTTAAGAAATTGTGAAAAAAACTGATTCTGAAAATTTTAGCATAAAAATTCAGGGAAATTTGATCCACAACTTTGTTGGTTTGTGTATTCAAATGTATGTTCTTAGTGTAAAAATTATTAAAAGAGATAACTATTTGTTAATAGCCTTAGGCAAAATTCAGTGTGCTGAGAAAATCACTAATTTAGTTTCTACATGTTAAAATTTTCATGGAAATTTTTGTCTTCGATATAATGACGTTATTCATGTTTTGTACTATGAGCTTTGTCAAGGTTCTACTCTGATTTACTTTTTGTACACAGAGGCAAAACTGCAATACCATTTTTTTTCTATTCTTAGTGTTTAATATCTTTGTTTAGCTCTTTTGTGAGAGATTGAAAAAAGTCTGGTATTTTTTAAAGAGGCCAGATTGACTGATTTTTACAAAAGAAGCTGGCCTTTATTGTTTTTTTTTTTCTAACTTTAATTTTATTTCAAACCTTACTATTAGAAAATTAAGATTAGAAAATTGCAGAATATAATAAACAGTAAGGTGTGATAAACAATGATATTGAAATAGTGTTATTAGGAAAGTAAGTTTATTAGTAATGTCAATCACAAAGTGTAGTATCATGCCTGCCAACTTTTACGCATTTGGCATTAAATTTTATTTCTATATTTAAAGTGGTAGTAAAATGTATGCTTTCTATATATTCCTTCCATTTATAAACTTAATTTAAAATCTTTTTGATCACCACTATTTTTAAAAAATTAAAGCATATATATTGATATAAAATACTGTTGTGTTTGTCCACATAAGCTTTATTCAAAAACAGCATATGTTTCTGCCTAGAATTGTAATTTAAATTCGAATTTACTACCATTGAGGAAAACCATCCTCGAAAGGATTTAAAGTTGGCAGGTACGTAGTATAGAGACACAAATGTAGTAAAAAATAGCATTTATAAATCAAAACTTGTTAACTGTTATTTTCTATAAACTCATATAAATAATATAGTAATTTTTTTCCACTTATCTAGTGTGTTGAAAAATATTTATCCTATTAGAAAAAATAAAAAAATTAATTTTTCTCCTACAATGTTAGAATTCTGTAGATATAGAAGCTGTTTCTGTTGGTGCAATATTTTCTGACTACCAGAGACTACGAGTTGAAAATGTGTAAGGTACCATTTTATTTGCTTTTATTAAATACATTTTTTTAATGTTTCGTCATTGTTTCTTAATAAGTCTCTCAATAAATTTGTTCTTTTTTTATAAATAATTGTTGGTATGTGTGAAAATTTTATATTAGTTCATGACCTGAATCAAACCAGGACCTTTGGGTCTATGGCTAGATAATCTAACGATTATAGAATCATTATCAGCATTGGCACGGCAGCCCTTTGTGAGCCTGGGCCTTTCTCAGAGGCTTTTCCCATTTTGCCCTTCTCCCAGCTATTGATTCCCAGTTCTTTACTTTTAGGATGGAAAAATCCTCATCCACACATTATTTCCATCTCTTTTTGGGCCTTCCTCTTGGCCTTTTATTGGAGGGGGTTGCATTAAAGACTCTTAATGCTGTTCATTCTGGGCTCATTCTCACTACATGCCCGGCCCATCTCATTCTACTTTGTTCAATAGATTTAATGATATCATCACTAATAAAGATCTTTCATATTTCAAAATTATATCTTTTTCTCCAGTTGTTGTTATCGAGGATACCGCTAAAGATGGTTTGTAGGATCTTCCTTTCGAAGGTTGCTAATAACTTCTCTTCCCTTTTTGTTAGAGTCCGTCTCTGAAGCATAAGTCAAAACTGACTTGATTAATACCTTATAAAGTAAAATCTTCTTTCTTTTTATTAAGTGAGATTTCAATAATGATTTTAAACCATAGAAGCAGCGATTGGATGCGATTATAGAATAGTGGACACAATAAAAAGTTTAACACCCAATAAATTTTGATCTAATGTCAGATTTTTACTTACCAGGACTGAATAGTAATGCTTTGAGGATCTGACCTGATCTGAGATCTGATTAAACTAAATAATTTGTGCGGATGATATATTAAGTTATTAAATCAGGCACAAAAAGATGCAAAATTTTAGTAGCAAAAAGATTTCAGTACATTCGTTGAATAATCGAGAAATCAAATTATCTATAACTTTTTCAAAATTTGATAACTCGAAAGCTGTTTGACTGATTTTTTGTCTTGTGAAATTACATTTTTTAAAATCTTGTTAAAAATTGTATACTTTACAATTTAAGATTATTAGGTTAAATCTGGATAAATGAATATCATAATTGTTTTAAAAAGCTCTTGAGAGACATGCAAGGGATCGAAACCTGATTAAATTATTGAGACCTTATTTTTCAAATACTCCAATATTTTTAGGTTCCTTTTATCAGCCAAATAATGGTATGCAGAATAATTATGTTTTCATGTCTGATTTCATAACCTAAAATGCTATATAATTAATTAGAAAATTGGTGGGAAAGCCCTGGAAGATTGAGTTCTAGTATGCGATAAGTTCAATAATTTTATTTTATAACTGTCATTGAACAGCCCCCCCAAATTTATGGGTTAACGACTACTAATGTTCAACTTGTAATTTTGAACCCAATCCAGAAGACGCGAGAACTCCTGGATCAAGTATTGGAAGAAGTTTGCCTTTGCGAGAACTTTTTTAGGAAACTAACCCGCATTTGCGTTACATGGAGAGAAAAACTTCCTAGGGTTAGCCTAATGGCAAGGGGACTTCTAACTCATGATCTGATACTACTGAAGATATTTAACTTCAGCACGTGGTCAGTGCCAGCTGGATGCGGAATTCGTATAGACCAGCCATCGCTGGAATTGGAGCCTGGTTCACCTCATTGGAAGGCGAGCCGTAGTCCAATCATTTGATTAAAAATTATCTAGGTTTAATTTTGAGGGGTCTGTCTAGGGCAAATTTACTACTATTTAGCGGTACCTTCATAAATTCAACTTTTGGAAGAACGGTAGTTTCACAAAATACTTTTTCTTAAAATTTTATTTTTGTATGCCGTAAGAAACGATAAATTCACATTTTTACCATATTTTTGTGTTGAATTTTTAATTATAATTTTTAATTTTCACAAATTCTGTGTACATTTTCCCAAAATAGGTACCTCTCAGAAAATTTTTTGCGTACTCTTCGTCTATAGTGAGTTCAATGTAGTTCTCGCCACATATTCATCGTGCAGTAAAAATCTGAGTTATTGTCACCTGAGAGGCTGTTATCAAAGTTAATTGAGAAGAATTATTTGTTATTAGCTATTAATAAAACTTAGTTCGTTTACATCTCTCTCTCTCTCCCCCCCCCCCCGGGAAGGGTTTATTAGATTAACAAAACAATAATGAAGATAAACAAATTTGTGAAGGGCCCCGATTAAAAGTTAAATTATTTTGTGAAGGGTCCATTTTTAAGCTAAAATATTTTGTGAAGGGTCTGTTTTTATGAAAAGATATTTTGTGAAAGATCCGTTTCTAAACAGACCCCTGACTACCACATGGAGATATTTATAATGGCCTTTTGCCTGGTACTGATTGTAACCTTTTATTTTAATCTTCTATTAAGGATTTTAATGTTTTATTGTTTCACGTGATTCTGTGCTTGAAAATTATGTATCATCATCTCACTCTCAGGGGATGCTCCATCGCTATAAGATGGACATACCTGGAGCAATTTGTTTTTAACTATTCTCCTTCTTCTCTGCTGCCGTCATTTTGTAATTTTGTTTTGAGTTTAATAAATGCCACGGGTGTGATCTTGCCGGCCTGGCTGGTCGGCTGAGTGCATGCCCCTCGCGTTCGTGTCACGGTAATCTTTGGTGGTGGATTGTCCTTCCATATGCCCGAATGACGGTAGGGCGGTATATACTTTTTTTTAGTTAAATTAGCCTGAGGGTATATTTTTATGAAAATTCTGATAGCATTGAAATATTTCTTTGTTTCTTTTTGCAAGATTTTTGTCATCTGTAAAAAATGAATATATAAGATTTGCATACTTTTTATTTAATTACAGATGAATTAAAACTGAGAAAACTACTATAAAAAAATGCCTTTTCTTTCTCCTGAACTTATCTAAACTATAATTTTAATTATATATTAAATCCAGTCAAAAACAAGAAGAAATCAACAAGTATATTTAAGATAAATATATTTAAAATTTATTGTTCAGTTTAAACATACTTTTTAATTGTGTTCTCAGCTTAAATAAATTTATTTATAGTTTTTTCTCTTTCAAGATTTATAATAATTACTAGTTGTCTCAAAATATTGCATTTTACAACTACTTTTAAATAAGGATTCTTTTATTTTCAGATGCAAGCGTTTGAATCTTGAAGTTTTCAGTTATTTGTGGCATAAAAATCAAGAGAAGTTATTGCAAGAAATAATAACTAGTGGCGTTCATGCTATTATCATCAAGGTTGCTGCTCTTGGTAGGCATGATTTATTGTTGTTGCTAATCTCTATGATGATGTATAGTTTGTCTAAAGTAAGAACTCCTCTAGCCACTCGTCTGGACCTGTGATGGTGACTCTGGTAATGAGGTATAACTTTTTCACGGAGGGGTGTAGGGTCATTGTTTAAGATAGGTCATACAAGGGAGACTAGGGAAGTGTAACTCGCCAATTTTGAAATAAACTAGTGGGATGTATGCCTTATGAGAAAATTTTTTAGGGGGCAGCATTCGTTTCGGCCCATAGAAGATCCTATGAGAGATAAAAAATTATTCAATATATAGAAAATTGGTATTTTATTACTTCAATGCAGACTATTAGTTATTGTAATTATCTCAATACTCCAATTAATTTTGAGGTACTTTCAAGTACTATATAATGCATATTTATTGTCAAAATTTATCTCAAAAGCCGAATATACCTATTTTGAAAAATTGATTGATTTCTGGAAAATACACTCTTCTTTAAGACTTTGATTTTTTCAAAAATGTTTTCTTATATTTCGACTCTCATGTAAATGAAATTTATAACTGTTCACTTGTTTTTATATTGTAAAATTTTTTGAAAAAAAATTTGATGGCAATTTTTTTGAAAATTAACCTAACAGGTTTTTCTGAAAAACTACAGATATATAAAATTTTCGAAACTAATTTTGACAATAAATATGTATTATATAATACTTGAAAGTACCACAAAATTAATTTGAGTATGAGATAATTACAATAACTAATAGTCTGCATTGAAGTGATAAAATATCGATTTGACAATAAATATGTATTATATAGTACTTGAAAGTACCACAAAATTAATTTGAGTATGAGATAATTACAATAACTAATAGTCTGCATTAAAGTAATAAAATACCAATTTTTCTATATATTGAATTATTTTTTATCTCTCATAGGACCTTCTATGGGGCGAAACAAATGTTGCCCCCCGAAATTATTCCTCATAAGACATACATCCCACTAGTTTATTTCAAAATTGGCGAGTCACACTTCTCTAGTCTCCCTTGTTAGCCCTAGAGTGCAGAGAAAGCTACCCTCCCTGGAATGCTCTATTTTTGTTCCCATCGCAGCAGACTTTGTGGCAGGGGGGAGTTCTTACCGTAGACAAACTATGCACTTTCAGTTGGTGCTCATGAACGTAATTTTTTAATAGCATTTCAGAGACAATTTTACCTTTTGAGTAAAATGACAGCCTCCAATTTCATTCCATCCCTACTTAATTACTCTTGTTAAATACACTAAAATCCATTAATCTCAACAAATTTAAATAATTAAATATCATGTTCCAATTTTCAGTTAATGTTATGTATTAAGTAATGAAGTCAATTTCATACCCGTCGTTGAACAGCCGACTCACTTTTTTGGGTTTACAACTTTTAATGTTCAACTCCGTAACCTGGTAATTTTAAACCCAATCCAGAAGACAAGGGAACTCCTTGGGTATAGTATAGGGACCTGCCTCTGTGGAGGACTTTTTGATGGAACTAGCAGGCATTTGCGTTGCATGGAGAGGAAAACCTCCCACGGTTAGTCTGACAGCAAGGGGATTCTAACCCATGATTCGTCTTCCACTGAGTATATTTCACATCAGCACTGTGAAAGTTGGAAGCCGGACGCATAATTTGTCCCTTTTCGAAAACGAGATTTTTTCTTTTCTTTACCATGTCGATTTTCGTCATATATTATGCAAAACCATGGTTTTCACATTGTTCTATTCAATGTTTTTTACAATTTATTCAAGCACAATTCATTTCGGTGTATCGTTGCTCTGTGAAAGCGCCAATCATTTTACATGTTTGATGAAATACTTGTGAGTGACTACTGAACTGTGTTCGGTGAGATTATTCCACTCTCATGTGCAACTGTGCTGTATTTTGCAAGATATTCTCCATTTCAGGCTTCATTTTCCACCCTCTGAAATCGAACAGAAAAATCTCTCGATTTTTTATGGTGGTTAATGTAATCAAGAAAAAGAGTTCTATGTCAGAAACTTGTTATTTTCTGGTGATCATATAAAATCTTTGAAAATTATTTTGCATTTTATTAATGTATATAGTACTTGAAAATGTTTTTTGAGTGCTTAAAAAGTACTTTAAAGGTGCTTATTTTTTGTTGAGAAATTTGGCTACGCACCCTTCATAAGGGATATCTTATAACTCTAGTTTATGTATTTTTTTTACTGTTATAAACTATCAGTTGTAAAAATACAGGTTCCCTTGCCCTCCACTACCATTACCCATTAGATATATTCTTGCGTCCAGATATTTCACTCATATTCTTGTCTTAAAAATATCATAATTGGATATTGATGCAAAGTTATTTTGAAATGTTTCTTGTTATCAAGTTAAAATTTATCTATTTATTATTTTTAATTTTGCCCACACTCGAAATATTTGCAATCCTTTTGGCAGAATCACGGCGACACTCTCGCAGAATGTTATATAGTTCTTACAGAAAGTTTTTTCCTTTGAAAAGTGAAAAAGAATTTTTTTTTACAGAAATATTCACGCAATATTTGAATCGTGCATTTAGATAATGATTTTGTGAGGCTATTTGTATATTTATGCTGATAGTATCATAAATCGATTTAATGTTTCGATTGTATTTTTGGCAGTTATTGATATTCATTTTCCTAAGCATTTTAAATATTCCGATATATTTCAAACAATATGGAAAATTCGAATCTTGCATTTGAATAATAACTTTTTTATGTCTATAATTCTATCGATTTTTTTAATGTTATGACTTTTGATGTCCCCATTGTTTTTAAATTTTATATTTATTACGGCAACCTAATCTCAAAACACGCATTCGAGGAGTCCGATTCCCGTGATTTCGTTGTCCATCTATTTTCGGCAATTACTACTACGGATTTCCTGATTTTAAATTTTTTTTATTGTGATAATTACTTACAAAATGCTAAGAAGGTAATAATTTGTGCGTTCCCCCTCCACAAAATTCGAGAATATCACTCATAATAATAGAATGCAAAATTATTGCACTTTTTTAAATGAGTATCATGTATGTTTGTCCTTATTAAAAGTATCTTGCAGAAAGATGTTAAACAGTTTTGTCACTGATAGCTTGAAAAAATTCTGCCACAGGGTTTTCAATATTGATGTTGCAATTTATTAATATTGCAATTTATGATTCTGCAATTTATTAATGTTGCTCATTTATTAATATTGCAATATTAATAAATGAGTATCATATATTTTTTGTCCTTATTAAAAGTATCTTGCAGAAAGATGTTAAACAGTTTTGTCACTGACAGCTTGAAAAAATTCTGCCACAGGGTTTTCAATATTGATGTTGCAATTTATTAATATTGCAATTTATGATTTTGCAATTTATTAATGTTGCTCATTTATTAATATTGCAATATTAATAAATGAGTATCATATATTTTTTGTCCTTAATAAAAGTATCTTGCAGAAAGATGCTAGAGAGTTTTGTCACTGATAGCTTAAAAAAATTCTGCCTCAGGGTTTGCAGTACAATATTCTGGCAAATGATTGGTTTTTATCTGAAACCTTTTAAAGAAGATATAAAAAACCTTCTTATTCTAATAATTGTTTGAGATGGATCTCTTATTATTCAGGTTTGGAGCCTGAAGTGCACTTGGGTATGAGTCTTGAAGAAATCTATCCACACATGATTGCTATGGTAAGTGTTTTCATAAGATGATATTTCAAATTTCGATGACTTGTTTCAACAATTTACTTCAACAGCACTTTTTTCACGCAGAATAAACAGTACGGCTTGAACATTTGTGGGGAAGGTGGAGAATTTGAGTCTTTCACTCTAGATTGTCCTTTATTTAAAAAAAGATTGGAAATGTAAGTAGCCTTCTCTTATTATTTACATAGCTGCCAACTCTACTGGATTTTGCCAGTTTCCCCTGGTCTATTGGTTTCTGGTAATTCTCCCAATTTTTGTACATTTTAGAAAATTCCCTAAAAATGAGTAAGTTTCCTAAAAAAAATCCCGATTGAAATAAAATTTCAGTACTGATTAGTGCTTGCGTGCTGGAATATTTAAATAAGTACTATTAATACATAATGAAGCAAACCTGATTTATAGAGATCAGTTTCGAAGCTTTTTTTATTCTAAAATGTTCAGTTTATTTTTTATTCCAAAGTCTCTTTTTTTAAATTAATTAAAAAAAATCTTTTAACTGTCTTTAATGGATTAAATTCCTATAATTATTCGTAACTATCAGTAAACATAATACATAAGATTTCAAGTATGTTTAATGTCAATCATAACTAGAAAATATTGCAGTTTTTCTATTTCGATGACTATAAAAATCCCTAAAATTCCCCATGTATAAAATATTTGGTACATTATTCAACAATTATCATGAAATGTACGTTATTTCGTAAAATCTACTGGATTTTTTCCTATCCATGTTGGCAGTTATGTATTTATTTAATAAGTAGCCGCACTTATGAAATACTTTATAATAATTTCTTTCTACCCATTGTTAATGCTTAAACATTCAAAATTGGAGTAACACTTAATGATTGGAGTGACACTTCTGTGTTTATTCTGACCGCCATTTGCCAGCTTGGGCTATCTCAAGTTCCATACCAATTTGTGAACACTCTTCACTGATTTACTCTTTACAGGGTTGCCACAGGCAACTAAAATGCAACTATTTTTGGCATGAGGCGACTATGGTAACTTTTTTGTTGTTGCCTGAAAAGGCTAAAAAAACAAATATTTTCAGGAAAAGAAGGCTATTGGGAGACTTTTCTGTACTCCTAGCGATGTTTTTTTCTTCTTTTAAGCATAAATTGGGGGGAAAATCTGCACCCCACAAGATAGTTTCTGAACACACTTAACTTTTTTTTTCCTTAAAATTTTGAATTGCAAATTTGAGTCTTTACTTTTTAATTCGTTCAATCTGCACAAATTCCATTGTAAGTCTATTTCGTTTCTAGATCACCTTTTCAATGATTATTGCTACGAAATTCNCATTTGCATATTATGCTCTACTTTGCATTTCCTGAAAATTTCAGCTCACTCGCGTAAGTCCTTCATGGTGTTGCAATTTTCACAAACATGAGTTTATAACAATTGTATTCATTTAAAATAAATTTAAACAAAAATTCAATTTTTTTATTATTAGAAATGTGGGACCCTGTAATAATTTACTTCTGGTAAAAATATTTAGCTTCAATATTCAATGTAATTATATTTCAAAATTATTGAAATTTTTTTTAATTATTTCATTAAAAAAAATACTGAAGCAGGTTACAAATTTTAATAAAAATTTAAAAGGGGCTATTCACTCATTTAATTTACATTTGTAATGAAAATTTATTAAGGTTTTCTTACTTAGCTTAATTCTTTACATATCTTTATATATTCAGTGTAATCAATAATATTAGCCATGCTAACTTTTGAATATACTTTTATAAAAAAAACTTTAATCTTTTTTTTTAACTAAAAAAATGCACTTTAATTTTTTTAAATTATAGTTTAAATAAGTATAATTTTTTTACATAATTAAATAAAGTAATTATTTATTTTATGAATAGAATGCTTGATTGAGTATGAAATGTATTGTGCTAATATAATCAAGAAAGAGCCTCCTTTGATAATCAAGAAAGAGCCAAGATCCTTTGTCAGAAGCTAATTATTTTATCATGATGATATAAAGACTTTGCAAACGTTTTTAAATTTTTTTTCTATGAAAAAATTAGGGGGGGGGGAAACTATTACTACCCACATCTAAATTTTGATTATGCTTTTTTTTAAAATTGTGCTTAAAAATATTCTTGAGTGCTTGAAAGGTGCTTATTTTTTGTTGAAAAATTTAGATGCACACCCTGTCTATACATTTGAAATTTTCAAAGGAACAATTTTGCCCGCTCCTGTTTTTCTTATACTAACCAGAAACAAAAAAGAAAATGAATAAATAATGTCCAGATCTGAAAGAGGGAATAAAATAGTTTCAAAAAATAAAAAAAATTATTTAAATGTTTTGATAGTTTGTCCTTTTAAGATTGTTGAATCAATATATTGAATTGATTTTTTTTAAAAATCTGATCTGTTACCACATAATACAAGGCTGCCACTCCCAAACCTGGAAAATGCAGGGAATTTAAAAATCACCTAAAATAACAGGGAAAATGCAGGGAAGTTTGAAATTTTTCCTACAAATTGGGAAAAAACAGGGAATTTAAAAATCATCTAAAATAACAGGGAAAAGGTAGGGAATTTTGAAATTTTCCCTACAAACTGGGAAAAAGCAAGGAATTTTATTTCTTATTTTTGTCTTTTAAAAAATGCAGGCTTCTCAAAGGCCAATCCATAGGACATTTAAAGATGATAACTCAGCTATATTATATTATTTCATTTACAATAGCATTATTTGTTTTATGCTGAGCTGTTTCTCCAAGTTCCAAAAAAATTAAAAACTAAATAGAATTCAGAGGATTTTTTTCTTTATCTTATGCGTACACTAAGTTAAGGATAATTTTAAAGTTTTTATTGTGCTGCATAATATTGTATTATATAAGAGCTATTATTATTTTATGTAAGTGCAAATTTTTTATTAATAGCATGATAAAATAAATATTAAATCTGTACAATAAGATAAAAAAAATGTTAAGTTAATTAAAATCCATTAATAATTATTTTTTTACCGGCTTCTACGGTATTGTTTTCCCTCAATGATCTAAAAATCCGTAAAGAAAAGGGGGGATCCTCCCAAATCCATCCATAAATGTCCGGGACATTTTTAGAAAACGTGTTTTATATTAGCTACTTTATAAAAATAGAATTATAAATTCTAATTTATATTTATAAATATAGTAAAAAAAGTAAGGTAATGATTAGAATAAGTATGTAATTTATAATTAAAAAATTTAAATCACTAGCAAAAGGCGATATCTTAAAATGAAAAATTATCTTTCAAAATTTATTAAAAAATGAAAAATCAATATCTGAAAAGTAGAAATCACAAAGCCTCTTAATGTAAAAATGATCCTAGCTCTGATAGTGACTGCAGCTGTAAGATAATTTTTCTACTGTTGTATAACTTGTTTGCGCTTTTAACCCATTTCCATCCAAAGGTGTGTAAACGTACCATTTCAATAAATATTTTTTTTTTAATACTGTGATTTATATCTTCAATAATTTTATTTTTCTTCTATTGGGTTCTGAAGACATCTATAAAATACTAGCAATTAAAAACGCTTTCTGTTGAAAAATTTTCAAAATGCTCTGTTTATTTTTTTTTCACTTGAAACAATTATTGAATAATTAGACTTTTTGAAGATCTATGATAATGCCACTTGAGATTAATCATATGCTTTTGTGATCTATTAAAGTTGCATATAATTATTCCGCTTGAGATTAATCATGTGCTTTTGTGATGGATTAAAATTGCATCTAATTATTCTGCTTGAGATTAATCATATGCTTTTGAAGTGGATTGAAGTAACATATAATTATTTAGCTTGAAATTAATCATATGTTTTTACAATATATTTTTTTTGTGGATTAATATTGCATATAAATATTTCACTTGATATTAATAATATTTTTTTGATAAATTAAAGTTGCATGTAAAGACGGATTAAAATTGTGAATAAAATTAAAATAAAACAAATGTTATTAAAAAACAAAGTGTTCAATTAAATAGTTTATTTACTGATTTGTGCACCATTTTATTTTGCTAAATAAAATATTTTTCATGCGCAAAACCTTTTTGTGTCTTAAAAATGGTAATTTAAACATATTTCAATGAAAATGCCATGTTTTATAAAATTTTTAACTTAACCCATTTTAAGTTAAAAATTTTATAAAACGTGGCATTTTAAAGTTACTTAGAACTGGTTTCATTTTCTGACGTCGTTTAATCCCTTCAGAAATGTGATGTCACAGCTGAAGGTATCATATAAAAAAATATACGCCTTTATGGCTCCAAGATGTGATCTTAATATGTTACTCTCAAATTAGTACATTTAGTCTGTATAAATGTAGAGCATTTCTTTCTACCTGTCCAGAAGAGATTAATAGTGTTATTTGTGTTTTACAATCTGATTGTGTTTATAAAAATAGCGCTCATTAAAACTGACCTATTTTTCAGAAAAGAAAAAGAAACCATTATCCATGCTGATAATGCCTTTGCTCCTGTTGGTTACTTGAAATTTAAAAAAGTTGAACTTTGTGAAAAAAAATAAGGTAAAATATTAAATTTATTGTGAAATCTGTATTTTATTTAAGTTTGTGTCAATCTATGTTTAATGGAATAATATTGTTATGTCAAGGGTCTGTTTAAAAGAAATTTAGGTCCGTTAACGGACCCTTCACAAAATATATTTTCTTAAAAACGGACCCTTCACAAAATATTTTTATTTAAAATCGGGTCCTTCACAAAATGATTTTTCTTTTAATCGGACCCTCCCCAAATTTGTTTAGCTTCATTATTGTTTTGTTAATTGAATAAACCCTTCCCAGGGGCATAAAACAAGGAAGATGGATGTAAACGAATTAAGTTTTGTCTTCGGCAGGCGATTCTTCCATTATTTGTTGAAATGAATATTCTGCGTTCAGCGGTATGGGCTAAATACCAAATATGTGTATGTTGCATCTTTAATTTTGAAGCAGCAATTGCTGTTTATTTTTGAAATTTTTTTTTTAAATTATAATTTTACAGTGCTGAGCGTAATCTTGTATCTATTTACAATTTAAAAGCTCCTTAAAAAAGTTTTTGCAGTAACCGGACCCTATTTGCACAAATTCATAAAAGCAGGACCCTGGTTGAAGGAATGTGAGTAATTTTTTCACAATTTCACAAAAACTGGACCTTTCACAAAATGTCTTTACAGACCCCTGTATGTATTTTGCCTTCTCTGTACAAACTAATGTAGTGTTTTTCTATTGATAAGATTTAAAATCCATTGCAGTGCACATTTTATCCTATTTAAGTTCAGAAATTTCCAGGTTAATATAGTTTGTAGACACTTTTCTGTATGAAGAATTATACAGTTCAACTCTCTTGTCTTTATGATGGATGTGATTATAAATTTGATTTCAATGTGTTATCAATGTCTGTCCGTGCTATTTTTGGCTGTCCTAAAAAATGCTGATACATAGTCTGTATGTGCTGTCCATGTTGATTTAGCGTCTCAATATGATTCCGAAAATAAAAGTAAAGTATAAAATTAAATAAATAAAAAAAGTTTAATTTAACTGTTTGGCAGTTAGGGAAATGAGCAGTTTTCGTTTACTACTCAATTCGCACAGTATTACGAGTAAACAGTAATCAAAAGCGGCAGCTGTTTTCCCCCGCCGTTCTTTCGAAAATGTCACCCTTCTCGATGCCGTAGATAGCTCACCTGACATGTTTTAAAAATTTCTTAAAGTATTTTTATTACATAAATAACAGTTTTTACATACTTTAAAATAATTATTAAATAGTAAATTATAGATGATTATAATCAGTTATATAAATAATAATAGTTAATTATAAAGTTAGACAAATATTAAATTGAAAGGACTAAATAAATACAACTAATGTAAAACTTTTGTGAAGCATTTAAATACAGTAATTACCTAAAAATCTTTAAAAATCATAATCATCATCATAATTATCTAACTTTCGCTTTTGAGCCATTTTACTTTACAAACACCCTAAAAACGCTCCAAAATACGCATAGAAGGAACAAGTTAAAAAAAAATATTTCCCCTTCATTTTGAAATTATTCATGGAACCCGTACTGCCATCTGTAGGCAGTAAAACTAACAAAATTTCGTGAATAGGATTCGTCTGTAACGTAATCAATGCAGATTAATGATGGCGAATTAGCTCAGCTCGTCAGCTCGCATTGGGGAAAAATTTCACTTCGCAAGTAGTGCTCGTTTCTAACACCTTCGGTTGAAATCTTGCTCCCGAGCAATGTAGCATGATTCGATTGCTAGCCGAACTCGTTCATAACCAACAAAGTGATTAATAATTCACTGAAAGAACATCACTAGTAAATAAAAATTAAAAACCAAATAAACATTAAAATTTAAATCTATGTAAAAGTTCAATTCTTTCAAAGTGTTATTCTTTTCAGCATGAATTAAATTAATCTTAAGTATTTTACTCTAAATTTAAAACATTTGTTATTTCTCTTAATGTTAATAATATTGTCCAAAATATTATTCTGTAATGTAAGGGAACATATAATGAAACCAGAAAATGTTTTTAATTTATTGTTGTTTTCATGAGGACAAACTACATAATAATTCATTAAGTAAACATCTCTTTCAAAGTTAAAAACAGAATATTTTGAGGTTTCACTCACCAATCATTTTCTTACCCCTTTCTTGTTTGTCAAGCTTTTTTTAATCTTAAATATGTTAAATTTTTTTTTTATCTACCACAGACAAGTCAAAATACTTCTCAATTAAAAAAAAAAAAAGGATATCAATTAAAATAAAATTCAGGGGTGATTGTGCTCCGGAAAAAATCCGGATTTCCGATCAGAAAGTTTCCGGAAATCCAAAGTCCAGAAGCTTTGAGAAATCATCGATCACATTTATATATAAAAATACTTGTATATTTTGTTTAAAAATATTAGAACTGTAATTTATACTTGGCATCTCTTTCATTTGTAAAAATTTTTTCTGGAAGAATAATAAATGTGATAAGAGATAAAAGTAAACTTACACATAATTATTCATTTAAATTTTGCTACATGTAATTCATTTAGAATATCATGTTTTAAAAATTTCAATGAATTTAATTTATGAAGATATTAATTTTTTGAATGATTTTACTCAAGAAATTTTCAGGATTTTTGAGTTGGGCCCACAATCACCCCTGAAAATTTGTAATCCTATTTGTAAATACTGATGATCTGAATTTAATGGGGAACGCAACGAACTCGAATAGCCGAAAAACTCGGTTAAAGGGAAGTGTATAGAAAAGGAACAAAGTAGGTATAAATGTAATATATTTAACAAATAGAAAATTGTTACGAGTACACCACATACAATTCATATTATAATTAAAAAGCTTACTTAAAAACTCTACATAAGGTATAAGAATACATTATGAGAATGAAAGAGTTTTTACTTAAAAAAAGTCCTTAATCCTTTTTTGTTTAACATTATTTTGGCGGTTTTCTACAGCAATGTTTCGCCATTTAGGTATAACTGGAAGGGTGGTGTTGCCTCTTGTTGTTCTGTATCCGCACACCTGGAAAGTCTTGAAAAGTCATGAATTTTGGTATTGAACAAAATTTGTCATGAAATGTCATGATTTTAATGATTTTTTTAAGAAAATCATGGAAAGTTATGGATTTAGGTTGCTGAAAAATCTGATTTTTAAAATGAAATTTAAACATGGTGTTCCGANGTCATATCTTTTTAAAATATGAAATTTTTTTATCATGTTCTTTAAAAATTATGGTGTTTAAAAAATGAAAGAAAAAACATCATTTCTTGAACGAATTATCCTTTAAACTTCTGTGATTTCAGAATTTTTGTTATTATTATTATTTATTTTTTTTATCAATTTAAATTTCTAGCTGAAGCAAGCCAGTCATTGGTGATTTTTTTTAATTCCGAAATGAAAATCAGGAGTATTTCTTTCCTTTTAGGTGAACGAGAAAAGTTTCTTTAGAATATAATTCTGCAGAAAAAAATTATTTACTTTTGTATTTTTTTCAGCTATTTTATTGCTGCAACTCTTTCTTTACTCTGTTTTTTTAAATTTAAAATCTTTAAATATAACGATGCAAAGTATAACAGTTTTGGTTATACCTATCATTTCAATTTATGTTATTATAATGCTTTTTTAAATTTCTTGTGTTTTTGTCAGAGAAAATAGTAACTTCGTTAAGTCATGACAAATTCTAGGAATTAGTCATGGAAAGTCATGAATTTGAAAGCTTAAAATGTGACAGATACCTTGTCGGTATATTCAATAGCTTTTAGTTCATCTGTATGACAGATTTTTATATATTGATTTTCATCGTCACTGTCTACATCATCTTGGCTAAATTCGTTTTCATTATTAACAATCATTTCATCTGTAATCTCGTGATGTAGGTCAACTTGTTTTCTTTAGTGTTTGGAAAATAAAATAAAAAATAGTTTTAAAAATAAAAACAGGGTATCCGCACACCTGGAGAGTCATGAATTTCAGTATTGAACAAAATTTGCCATGATTTTAACTATTTTTGTTAAAAAAAATCATGAATAGTCATGTATTTTGGTCGCTGAAGAATCTAATTTTTAAAATGGAATTTACCCTTCCCCCCATTTCAGGGTGTTCCAAATATCTGAATTTGTAACAAAATCCCGACTCACAGACCACAGTCATATTTTATTAAAATAAAAAATGTTTTTTTATCATGTTCTTTAAAAATTCTGGTTCTCTTTCAAAGGAATGAAAGAAAAAACGTCATTTCCAACGTCAATTATCTTTTAAATTTCTGAAATTTTAGAATTTTTATTATTATTTATTTATTTTGTTTTATCAATTTAAAATTCTAGCTGATGCAAGCTAGTCATTGGCAATTTTTTTTAAATTCCGAAATGAGAACGGAAAAATCTGGAGTATTTCTTTCGTTTTTGATGAACAAGAAAAGTATCTTTAGAATATAATTCTGCTGAAAAAAAGAAAAAAAAAAATTTGCTTTTGTATTTTTTTCAACTATTTTATTGCTTCAACTCTTTCTTTACTCTGTTTTTTAAATTTGAAATCTATAAATTTGAGGATGCAGAGTATAACAGTTTTGGTTATACTAATCATTTCACTTAATGTTATTATAATACTTTTTTAAATTTATTGTTGTGTTTTTGTCGGAAAAAATAGTAACTTCGTAAAGTCGCCAAAAATTCTTGGAATTAGTCATGGAAAGTCATGAATTTGAAAATCTGAAATGTAGCAGATACCCTGAAAAAAATGAACTAGAACAAAAAAAATTCTTGAAATATTTGATAGCTCGGTTAAAGCGGAAACTCAGGTTATTGAGACTCTACTGTATTTTTTTTTATTTTCTTTGTAAATTAACTTTTTTTTATGTTCCTTTGATATACATATTGGTGCTTACTCTTTTGTACTGATCTTTTTTTGAAATCTTAAGATTTATTAAATTTATTTTTGTCTATAAGGCCATTCAAATATTTTGTAAGCACTCAGTGGTTTGCTTATTTTTGCTGACAAGGGGAGAGGAAAATTATAAGCAATGCTGAAGTAAAACATTTAAATCTATCTTTTCCCAAATTTTCTTTAAATGTAAAATAAAAATTTTAACTAAATGTAACACATGGAAATTTCAAGCTCAGAAAGAAAAATAAGAAAGATTTCTGTATAATGTTCTACTCAAAATTTTATAAGAGGAATTGAAATGTAAATTTTGCTTTACGTAAAGTTGCATTGTTTATTTGAATTTTATCCTAAAATTAGGTTACCGTAATAAAAGTTTAAAACAAAGTAAAAACCATCGTTGCAACTTTTTACGTAAGCAGTTTGTTATATGCTTGTTTTTGCTGTTTCCAAAATTGCCTGATATATGTTTACATAATATTTGAAAAGCCTCTTAAGTATAGCTGTATGTGTAATTATGTGAATCTTAATGTAATTATTATTTTTTGTTTCAGTGAAAGAAAGTTTATTTGTTATCTAAACAAGATTGGAAAAAGGGACCTATTATGTTTTTATGTCTGTCATCTTATGTTTTTATGCATTTATAATCTGGAATTGTCACATTAAAATGTTATTTTTTAAAATTATGTCTCATTGTTGTATTTATTTTCTGTTTGTTGTGTCAAATTTTTATCATAAATGTCTTTCATACTTTTCACAGTTTTATTCCAAGAAATATTTTGAAGATTAGTAGTTTTAAAGATTGTTTACAATTATTGTATTCCTTTTATTCTTTAGCAAAAACTAGACCAATCAGTTTCTCTTTTGCACGCAAGGAGTGTATTTCATGTAATTTCCCAATATCATTAGGTATTAAAGAAGAGTTAGTCAGTGTGGAATTGTCTGTTGAAGTAGTTTCTAAGTGAAACTAGTAACCTTAGTGGTTAAGATTCTGAGTGAATATGTTTTTTGTTAGTTGAAGTTCTGTGTGAAACTGGAACCTGTGTGGTTCGATTTAAGAGTCTGTGTGACTCATATTATTATTAAAGAATAAGCATAATCATTAAATGTGTTGATTGACTTTATTAATGGTAACCAAGGAATTTACATATATATATATATAGCGAAATGAAAAAATACGAAGAAAATTAAAAAAACCAATAAGTTTCATTTATTGCGCATAAGCTACAAGTAAATATGTTCAAAATAAAGATAAAACAAAGGAAAATTACAGACATATGAAAAAAGGGGGAACAAGGAAAATAATAATAATAAAAATTAAAAAAAACTGAAAAAAAAAAGAAATTTTTTTTTTTTAAAAAAATTCCGGAAAATGAAAGATGTAATCTTTTCATCAGCCCACACGATTATATCCGCAAAAAAGAGTGCTTTCAAATATTGCATCAATATAGCCAAAGCAAAATATATCAATACAATAATGTGAGGAGCACTCAAAAAAGTTTTACAAAAATTACAACATATAAAATAGAACCCAATAAGTAAAAATAACATGTAAAAACAGAAAATAAAATATTAGAAAAAAAAAAAGAAAAAANAAAAAAAAAAAAAAAAACAGAATAAAACATAATCTATTAAGCGAGCAGCGAATTATAATGAACTTACATGAATGGGAAATTTTTCAAGAATGATTTAAAATATTTTCGTAACAAGATTGCCAGATTGCAAAATCTGAAAACTAAAGCTCAAATTGAGCGTAACTAGAGGAGTTTTGTTTTAAAGTGCGTTTGATTTGCTGGTTATCAAGAATAGACTCGAAAATGGATGTGCGCAAGGTAATATTATGCTGGATAATTTAAAGAAGTTGATTATAAATAAGTATTTATTTAAGAAAAAAAATATAAAATAGAAAAGAGAAGGAAACATGAATTGTCTGTTTTGCACATAATTTTAGCCACGGATTTGCCCGAAATGGATTTGCACATGGAAAAATTATATAAATTAACAAAGAAATCCGCAGAGGACTGATTGTTAAGATATGGTTCCCACCGAAGTCAAGCATCACTGGATGCGGTTAGTGTGCGGGTGGGTGACAGCTTGGATCAGTCTGCGTAGAGAACGAGGGTGTGCGGTATGAGTCCTCGTTAAACTGTTCTAACGTAAAGTGCTCGACTTCGCGTGCAGGTCGTCGGCCTACCGAAGCGAGGATACTATCTCCTCTGCAGAGGATCAAAACTGGGATGGCATATCTTTGGATCATTCTCAGGGATGTTTCCCAGACCGTCGCCAATAGCCCACTGTACAGCTCTAGTGCGACGTAAGGAAACTACAACAACTCAACATTCACCGGAAGTCAACAACCACCGATTTCTGTCATTCATAGTAACACACACATCCAACAGTTTGCAAGAAATCCTGAGTATTGAAATGTGTTATTTTCTTACGTTCTTATAACCTATAAAACCAATAGACTGAATTTTATTGAAAAATAATATTCTATTTCATTTGCTAGTTTTAAAACTTCTAATCCTGTCAGGGGTGNCAATCAGTTTCTCTTTTGCACGCAAGGAGTGCATTTCATGTAATTTCCCCATATCTTAGTCAGTGTGGAATTGTCTGTTGAAGTAGTTTCTAAGTGAAACTAGTAACCTTAGTGAAGATTAGATTCTGAGTGAATATGTTTTTTGTTAGTTGAAGTTCTGTGTGAAACTGGAACCTGTGTGGTTCGATTTAAGAGTGTGTGTGACTCATGTTATTATTAAAGAATAAGCATAATCATTAATTGTGTTGATTGACTTTATTAATGGTAACCAAGGCATTTACATATATATATATTGCGAAATAAATAAATACGAAGAAAATTTTAAAAAAACAAGTAATTTTCATTTATTGCGCATAAGCTACATGTAAATAGAACTTATGAAATATGTTCAAAATAAAGACGAAACAAAGGAAAATTTCAGACATATGAAAAAAGGGGGAACAAGGAAAATAATAATAATAAAAATAAAAAAAACTGGAAAAAAAAGAATTTTTTTTTTTTAAAATTCCGGAAAATAAAAGATGTAACCTTTTTATCAGCCCACACGATTATATCCGCAAAAAAGAGTGCTTTCAAATATTGCATCAATATAGCCAAAGCAAAATATATCAATACAATAATGTGAGGAGCACTCAAAAAAGTTTTACAAAAATTACAACAAATAAAATAGAACCCAATAAGTAAAAATAACATGTAAAAACAGAAAATAAAATATTAGAAAAAAAAACAGAATAAAGCATAATCTATAAAGCGAGCAGCGAATTATAATGAACTTACATGAATGGGAAATTTTTCAAGAATGATTTAAAATATTTTCGTAACAAGATTGCCAGATTGCAAAATCTGAAAACTAAAGCGCAAATTGAGCGTAACTAGAGGAGTTTTGTTTTAAAGTGCGTTTGATTTGCTGGTTATCAAGAATAGGCTCGAAAATGGATGTGCGCAAGGTAATATTATGCTGGATAATTTAAAGAAGTTGACTATAAATAAGTATTTATTTAAGAAAAAAAAATATAAAATAGAAAAGAGAAGGAAACATGAATTGTCTGTTTTACACATAATTTTAGCCACGGATTTGCCCGAAATGGATTTGCACATGAAAAAATTATATAAATTAACAAAGAAATCCGCAGAGGACTGATTGTTAAGATATGGTTCCCACCGAAGTCAAGCATCACTGGATGCGGTTAGTGTGCGGGTGGGTGACAGCTTGGATCAGTCTGCGTAGAGAACGAGGGTGTGCGGTATGAGTCCTCGTTAAACTGTTCTAACGTAAAGTGCTCGACTTCGCGTGCAGGTCGTCGGCCTACCGAAGCGAGGATACTATCTCCTCTGCAGAGGATCAAAACTGGGATGGCATATCTTTGGATCATTCTCAGGGATGTTTCCCAGACCGTCGCCAATAGCCCACTGTACAGCTCTAGTGCGACGTAAGGAAACTACAACAACTCAACATTCACCGGAAGTCAACAACCACCGATTTCTGTCATTCATAGTAACACACACATCCAACAGTTTGCAAGAAATCCTGAGTATTGAAATGTGTTATTTTCTTACGTTCTTATAATCTATAAAACCAATAGACTGAATTTTATTGAAAAATAATATTCTATTTCATTTGCTAGTTTTAAAACTTCTAATCCTTTCAGGGGTGCGAGAGTGCACCACTTGTGCACTCTTTTTTTTTTTTTTTTTTTTTTTTTTTTTTTTTTTTTTTTTTTGAGAATTAAAACTTCTGGTATATTGCGTTTCATAATATGTATTTATTGATGGGGTTAAAGAAATATTCAATGATTTTTTAAGATAAAATATTTAGTGCTTTAAAAGGCATATAAAACTGACTTGTAGTTGATCTACATATTTTCTCCATTATTAAATGTTTATTAACATTTTTAACTGATAATTGTGGTTGAAACATTTAATTAATATTTACATATTTGAATTTTTACAACAAAAATTGTATGCTAAATTTTAGTATTGTCTTTTTCTAGATTCTCCAAGAGCTTGTTCTTTTACGAGTACTGATTTACGATAAGCTATTTTCAGAATGAAATTTTGTTTTATTTAAAATAAATTTTTAATAGTGGTATCATTTACGCGTCAATTTTCTTTTTTAAAATATTGTTATTTGTATAATTTCTTATTCGTTTCAAATACTTGTATAATTTTTTTTTCATTTTATTTCCGTACTTAACTTTTGTATATTGTAGTTATTTAATTCATAAATTAAAATAATTAGATGACTTTGTTTGAAAAGTTGTTATAGAATGCTTTTAAATATAATCTTTTATAATATTCTTCAATATTAATTTTTTTTAATCAGATCATGATATCAAGCTTAATTTGAATTAAGACGTGAGCAACATACTTTCTTCATCTTGAATTTATTAGTAACCATCAATGCAATTTTTTTAATCTGCACCCTCAATGCATCAACGATGCAATCTTGGGATTCCTGTAAAATGTGTCAGCGAATTAATTCTTTGCTATATTATTTGGAAATAATTCAGAAAACCTTTATATGATCATTTTCTCTAGAGCTTAAAGTTATAGAAAATTTTCTCCTCCATGATAAAAATTCAAGCGGAGAGTTTTTACAAAACTTCCTTTAACAAATTTATAACTTAATAATATATAACCAGCAAATTTGCTTTTATGTATTTTTAATATAATGAAATATATAACTTTTTGTTTAAATTATTCTTTTGCAGTGGTGGTAAAAATCCATTTGTTTCTAAGTAAATAATACTTGAGATAAATTATTTTCTGAACTTAAGGCATAAGGTGATAAATTTTTTAATTTTAATAATTTTTTTCTTTTTTCTCATAGTTTGCTAGATTGCAAAGTCTTGATGGAACTGATTTTAAAGAGCACACAAGACAAGCACTTCGTCACATCGTGCCTGATGATGTTGCTGAACTCTATAGCTGGGTGGGCAATAATGAAAAAAAAAAGATTTTTGAATTACAGAGTGTCAGATGCAATTATTGGTAATATCTAATCTCTGTTTATATATATACATACATATATATATATATANTGTATTGCTAAGGTTGCCTTTCTAGAAAACAATCTTATTTTTAAAGTATTTATATTCATTAAAATGGTATTATTATTAAATTTAGTTTTCAAATAAACATCTA